TGAAGTGCTCTCGCTCTCCACCACTCCGCTGGCTCTTTGTCTGCCAGCTGGAGTTCCTGGAGGCACTGGCATAGGAGTGCTGCCTGTGGGGGTTTGAGTGGCATACTGAAGATTAAAAGAACAAAAGCTATAAAGGATAAGGCTGGAAGTGTAGCGGATGTATTTCAAATCCCTTTTATTTTGCACAGTGTTGTCTAAATTGGGGCAGTCGGAGGTGTATTAGATTCCCTGCTGTTCTTTCATGTCTGATCATGGGGATCACCCAGCAAGACAGGAGGAGAGTTGCTGCATGAAGTTCTCTACAAAGAACCAACAGGAAATAAAAAGCTTCAAATGGGAAACTTGAAAATGAAATTCAGGCACCTTATTGTCTTGCAGTCTAAAACAGCTGAGGTCCTGCTGAGTATAGGGCATCTGAATGATTTGCATTGTACAGTGTGCTGTTTATTAATACCAGGTGCATAGGAGGTAAAAAAGTGGAATGAAATTCAGGTAGGGATCAATATATCGACTGCAAAATCTGCAAACAAAGTTCGCATCCTTGTTCGGTGAAAGACAGTCCCGAGTAGTTTGTTACAGACTTTAGAAATGCAGTCTGTGGTTAGGTAATAAGCTGTTGACCTGGTGGGGCCCAGGAGAGGAAACAAATCACTCGACTGGAGTTTTTATGCATCTGGGTGTTACATTTCCTCAGATTCTTTCACAGAGCCATCATTTGTTTATTGTAGGCATATTTTTATAGCACTGATCAGCACTGTTTGAAATCTCCAACATGAACTTGTTGGTATCAAGGGGAGATAGCAACGTGAAAGGAAATGAGAAGGCAAATATGGATAAAGAATTACATGGCAGTGGACAAACTAACCCCTAATCAGATGTTCAAGTGTCACTGGACCTTAGTTCTTCCCTAAAAGGGAGACAGTATAAATAAGCTCCAGAAATTAAAGCGGTTTGCAAACGGTGTGGGTAATACATCTGTCGTCTGCTTGTTTCTTTAAATGAGAAAATAAATGCTTAAATAAAGTAAGTTGCTCTTTAGGGTGGAGCTATTCTACCTGATGGAAAAGCAAACTTTGGAGGACTTCCTTTCATTGTACTGTATAATGGAAATATTTTGCTTTTCTATTTATATAGTAAATGTAAATCCATACCTGTGGTATATATCCAATATTATCTGTCTGCCACAGAGC